CACCACTGTGTATCATTCATCCATTCACACACATTGTAGTCACATCCACCCTAGGGGGCATTGATAGAGGCAGGGCTGCAGAGCACAGGCGCCACCGGTCCCTCCGACCACCAGCAGACAAGGTGGTTAGGTGTCTTGCCCAAGGCCCCTCCGATTACTGGATAACCCACTCAGCCTGTTGAGCTAGTGTTTCCCCTATATATATGTATATACAGTGGGGCAAAAAAGTATTTAGTCAGCCACTGATTGTGCAAGTTCTCCCACTTAAAATGATGACAGAGGTCAGTAATTTACATCAAAGGTACACTTCAACTGTGAGAGACAGAATGTAAAAAAAAATCCATGAATTCACATGGCAGGATTTTTAAAGAATTTATTTGTAAATCAGGGTGGAAAATAAGTATTTGGTCACTTCAAACAAGGAAAATCTCTGGCTCTCACAGACCTGTAACGTCTTCTTTAATAAGCTTTTCTGTCCTCCACTCGTTACCTGTATTAATGGCACCTGTTTGAACTCAGTATCTGTATAAAAGACACCTGTCCACAGCCTCAAACAGTCAGACTCCAAACTCCACTATGGCCAAGACCAAAGAGCTTTCGAAGGACACCAGGAAAAGAATTGTAGACCTGCACCAGACTGGGAAGAGTGAATCTACAATAGGCAAGCAGCTTGGTGTGAAAAAATCAACTGTGGGAGCAATTATCAGAAAATGGAAGACATACAAGACCACTGATAATCTCCCTGGATCTGGGGCTCCACGCAAGATCTCATCCCGTGGGGTCAAAATGATCATGAAAACAGTGAGCAAGAACCCCAGAACCACACGGGGGGACCTGGTGAATCACCTGCAGAGAGCTGGGACCACAGTATCAATCAATCAAATTTTATTTCTAAAGCGCTTTTCAAACAAAGTATGATTCAAAGTGCTTTACAAAATGACCCCAAATTCCCATAACAGGTTAAAAACATTTACAAACATATGCAAGCACACGCACACGCACACGCACACACAGACTCACACACACACACACAAGTAAAAATTATATTAGGCTGAGTCCAGATGAGCCAAGTATGGTAACGCAAGGAAACGCCATCAGAGGAGTCGTCTGCCCCGGCAGCATCAGGTCTTCCACACTAAGTCAGGGCGCTCAGTGGAGGGGGAGTAACAAAGGTCACCATCATTAACACACTACAACGGCAGGGAATCAAATCCTGCAGTGCCAGACGTGTTCCGCTGCTGAAGCCAGTGCATGTCCAGGCCCGTCTGAAGTTTGCCAGAGAGCACATGGATGATACAGCAGAGGATTGGGAGAATGTCATGTGGTCAGATGAAACCAAAGTAGAACTTTTTGGTATAAACTCAACTCGCTGTGTTTGGAGGAAGAAGAATACTGAGTTGCATCCCAAGAACACCATACCTACTGTGAAGCATGGGGGTGGGAACACCATGCTTTGGGGCTGTTTTTCTGCTAAGGGGACAGAACGACTGATCCGTGCTAAGGACAGAATGAATGGGGCTGTGTATCATGAGATTCTGAGCTAAAACCTCCTTCCATCAGTGAGAGCTTTGAAGATGAAACGTGGCTGGGTCTTCCAACACGACAATGATCCCAAACGGAGTGGCTCCGTAAGAAGCATTTGAAAGTCCTGGAGTGGCCTAGCCAGTCTCCAGACCTCAACCCCATAGAAAATCTGTGGAGGGAGTTGAAAGTCAGTGTTGCTTGGCGACAGCCCCAAAACATCACTGCTCTCGAGAAGATCTGCATGGAGGAATGGGCCAAAATACCAGCTACTGTGTGTGCAAACCTGGTAAAGACCTATAGTAATCTTTTGACCTCTGTTATTGCCAACAAAGGTTATTTTACAAAGTATTGAGCTGAATTTTTGTTACTGACCAAATACTTATTTTCCACCCTGATTTACAAATAAATTCTTTAAAAATCCTGGCATGTGACTTCATGGATTTTTTTCACATTCTTTCTCTCACAGTTGAAGTGTACCTATGATGAAAATTACTGACCTCTGTCATCATTTTAAGTGGGAGAACTTGCACAGTCGGTGGCTGACTAAATACTTTTTTGCCCCACTGTATATACATATATATATATATATATATATATATATATATATATATATATATATATATATATATATAATCATAATCATCACAAACAACATCATTATCATCATCATCATCATCTTAGTTTAAGAACAACAAGCATCCGTCTTCACTCTTCATCAGCACCAAGAACCATTTACTTGGTCACATGACCCATCATTTCACCCAGAAGAATGAGGTAGCCAGCATGTTTAAAAATATGTTCTTCTTGATCTATAGATGTATTGTTTCTTATGTTTGAGAGGTTGCATTATATCCTTGGTAAAATACATAAATTCACACCAAACAAAAGGAGATGAGAGGAGGACTGCGACACCAGTTCAGCTGCATTCTCAAATGGTAATAAGAAAATATCACATGTGTGTTATTTTTTGTTTGTTTATAGATAAATACCTTTTTTAGCATTTATATTAATATCATCTTATTGTTTACAAACACAACTTTTGTCATAAGAAAATCAAAACAACAAAAAAAATTATGTCAGGAAAACAAATTCACATAAATGATATTAATAGTTTATAATGAATGAATAATTTTTGAAGAGATTTCTGATTTCTGTCTGAAGCCACTATGTATGTTGTGGTTTATCTTACTGCAGTGCAACGTTCTAAAGGGACATTCTGTACTTTTCATCTGCTACAGTATTACAAAAGGTCCTGTTTGGTCATCAGGTCATCAGATGTTTGTATGCATGCATGTATGCCCAGATGTATTGTAAGGGTCTGCTGGGGACGTCTGGCGAGAGCTCCTGTCTTCTCACCTCCGTCAGACCTTCCAAACTGTTCCGGGGGGGGGGCATTGAGTCCGAGTGGGCCATGTTCTGTGCTTCCATTGCCTGCCGTGGTGGTCATCCCTGAATCCACTGGTGGACACCGACGGTAAGGGTGAGGAAAGAGTCCTATATGGTCTTTTTGGCCTATGGGACTCCAGAGGCAGCTGACTGGTACTGGCAGGCCGAGGGGAATGCAGCCCGGGTCACAGAGGCAAAACCCTGGGCATAGGAGGAGTTCAGAAAGCCCATGGAACAAGACTTCCATACAGTTTCGAAAAGATTCTGGTCCACCATCCGGCGCCTCAGAAAGCAGTACGCTATCAACACTGTTTATAGTGGGGACAGTGTGCTGCTGACCTCGACTAGGGACGTTGTGGTTTGGTAGGCAGAGTACTTCGAAGACCTCCTCAATCCCACCGGCACATCTTCCAGTGAGGAAGCATGGTCTGGGGACTTTGGGTTGGGCTTTCCAATTTCTGGTGCTGAGGCCAATGAGGCTGTCAAAGAGCTCCTCAGTGGCAAGGCCCCTTGGGGGTGGATGAGATTCGCCTAGAGTTCCTTAAGGCTCTGGATGTTGTAGGGCTGTGTTGACTGGCCCTGATGCCCCCAGCATAGACATCGGGGGCAGTCCCACTGGACTGGCAGACTGGGTTGGTGGTCCCCTTATTTTAAAAGGGGGACCGCAGAGTGTGTTCCAACCACAGGGGTATCACACTCCTGAGCCTCCCTAGTAAGGTCTATTCAAGGGTTCTGGAGAGGAGGGTCCGTCGGACTGTCGAACCTCAGATTCAGGAGGAGCAATGTGGTTTTTGTCCTGGCTGTGGAACACTGGACCAGCTCTATACCCTTAGGGGGTTCCTGGAGGGTGGGAGTTTGCCCAACCAATCTACATGTGTTTTGTGGATTTGGAGAAGGTGTTCGACCGCATCCCTCAGGGGGCCCTCTGGGGGAAGTATGGGGTACCAGTCCCTCTGATACAGGCTGATAGGTTCCTGTATGACCGGCGTCAGAGCTTGGTCCGCATTGCCGGCAGTAAGTCTGGCTCATTCCCAGTGAGAGTTGGACTCCAACAAGGCTGCCCTTTGTCACTGATTCTGTTCATAACTTTTATGGACAGGATTTCAAGGAACAGCTATGGTGTTGAGGGGATCTGTTTTGGTGGCCTAAGGATCAGGTTTCTGCTTTTTGCAGATGATGTGGTCCTGTTGGCTTCATCAGAACGTGATCTCCGGCTATCATTGGAGTGGTTCGCAGCCGAGTGTGAAGCAGCTGGGATGAGAATCAGCTCCTCTAAATCTAAGACCATGGTCTTGATTCAGGAAAGGGTAGAATGCCTTCTCCAGGTCAGGGACGAGGTTCAATGTGTTTTCTTTATTTTCAGAACCATTTACAAAGGGGCCAACAAGTGTTAAATTACCTCTGGGAACTCCTTCAAGACTATTGGATCAGGTCTTAAAGTACAGTCTAAGGCACACCTGTACATTGTTCATGCTGTCTAATTAGCCCCTTGATATGCCACACCTGTGAGGTGGGATGGATTATCTTGGTAAAGCAAAAGTGCTCTCTAACACACATGTAGACAGATTTCAGAACAATATTTGAGAGTCATGGATCTTTTGTGCAAGTAGAAAATTTTTCAGATGTTTGAGTTCAACTCGTGAAAAATGGGAGCAAAAACAAATGTGTTGCATTTATATTTGTGTTCAGTGTATGTGTGTGTGTGTGTGTGTGTGTGTGTGTGTGTGTGTGTGTGTGTGTGTGTGTGTGTGTGTGTGTGTGTGTGTGTGTGTGTGTGTGTGTGTGTGTGTGTGTGTGTGTGTGTGTGTGTAATGAGTGTGGTGATTAGCCACTGCATCATAATGTTCACTACACTTTAATCCATCAGTGATAATAATCCCTTCCAGCAGCACATTTCCTTTTACAGTGCTGCTACTGTACTAAAACATTTACCTCTCCCAATTATGAATAATACATTTTGTACAGAAAACGAGAAATTATTTTAAGCAACGTCATGCAGACATTAGTAACAAACAAATTGTTTATTCTTCAGTTGCAGAAACTTCTCCACGTCCTGCTGAGTTTAGAACCTCCTGTGCGTCAGTTCTCACCTGATATGCCATCATGTTGAGGAAGTAGCTGTAGATGCTGGTGCGATTCATCCCCTGCGAGGCCGACATTGTGCCTCCAAACCGCTTGTCCTGGGACACCACAGCTCTACATTTGGTCATGAACATCCAGCTTTTCTCAAAGTGACTGTAAAGATCCTGACATCTTCCAGGAGACCAGAACAGAACCTCTGAAAGGCCTGTCAGGAAAGGAAAAGCACAGAAGAGTCCAGCAGGTTGTCTCCACTCGCTCTTTTTGCTGGATTAGCAGTAAATCTGGTCCAGCTGGGTTCCCGGCAGCCGAGACCTTCAGCATGTGCCCCGGTTCAGCAGCCTCGCAGGGGAACAAGTTGTTTTTTTGCCCGTGTCCTGCATGTCTGCGCTCTGCGGCTGTGTTGGCTGCTGCCAGAAAAGAGGAAGAGCGGGTGGCGAATACCGGTGCCCCCCTCCTCCCTCCCCCCTGTCCCAGTCAGATTAGGCAGAGAGTCAGCGAATGGAGGGAGGAGGGGTTGTGGAAGAAGAGGTCAACGTGGACCATGTGTCTGTCCCATCTGTCCATCCTGTCCCTTCCCCCAGTGTGGAAAAAAAACCCAGAGAGCTCCCGGTGGGATTGCACAAGACTTCACCTAATCCAGGTTCACTCAGTTAAACAGTCACCCAGTCTGATTTCTGGATGCTGAAGCCTGACAGACCCTGAAGGACCTGGGCCAAGTCTGGGTCCTTGAGCATCTCACAGAAACAAAATGGTCAGGTATGAAACGTACATAGGAGACGGTAGATGTTCCCACAGCTCGATAACAATCATCAGACCAGTGGATTATTCATGAAGAAGATACAAGACAAAAGCTAAAGGTGTAGCCACCAAAATGCCCTGTGGATGATCGTAATCTGCTATTCATCTGTCTTGATTATATATAAAGAAGAGTCCCTTTTTGTTGCAGTCCAGACTTCCTGATGACTAAAGATTTTTTAAGAAAAGGTAGATCACGGTTGAAGGTGCAGGGTTGTAGAAGCTGGAACTGAGATGAATGGAGGAAAGCCATCACTGGAATAATTTTACTTAAGGGCGATGTTTTGATCCAAACTGGATTTTCATCTCATCAGACATTTCACTCGAACCTTCAACACTGTTCTCAGCGACAAACCTGAACGGATGAAGAGTCAGTCAGGTGATGACTTTCATCATTCATAAGAATCCTTCACAGCTAACAGGTGCAAAGTTCCCATCACGAAAGTGAGATATAGATATAAAACATACATGGAAATCTGATGCTCACAACTGCAAACTGATCCAAAGTCATTGTTTCAAAATAAAACACAGCTGCTCAGCTCTGGAAAGTCTTGTCACACATGAAAATAAAAAACTCCTGATATTATTTGATAATTCATAAAAGAGCTTAAACACCCCACATTTGCAGTGTTATACTACTGGATAAGAGCTTTTGGGAGTGTGTTTGCAGCATGATGATGTCAAAACTCTTGTTTATATATTCTGGCATGCTTAAAACCCCAAAGAGGCAACTGGTTTCTACTGTGTGACACCAATGCAGCTTCTGTCTTCTGCAAATCAGGCCTTTATGCATATTAGGACTGCATTCCTATAGACATTTTAAAAATCAGCATTAGTTCAGATTTGTGCCTGCTACAGCGCCATAGCAGCTGAGCAGATGTTTGTCAGTTGTTACAGTATTGAGCAAAAATTCATGTATTTCAAAGCAAGCTAGGCTATGTGCAGTTTAACTGTTCATTATTGGTCTGAGATTGGAAAGACTGGCCTCTTTTCTCTACATCAGCAGCTTATGAAATGACTCTTTTTGTCATGGGTAGCAGCAGCGACATGAAATGTTGCGTGTGGTTATAAAAAGTGATGAGTGCATGAAGAGGGAGTGAGATTAGATTTGGGTTAGTGTGCAGGCCCGAGCAGCGGGATAATCCCGTCGTTGTTCAGGATGACCTTCATCAGTCCAGACGAGACTTTAAAAGCGGAAGCCTGCTTCTCTCTGAGCAACCCAGAAACTGTCCACCAGCTCAGCAGTCCAAACACAAAAAAACTTTAAATCTGGTTATGTTTGTTCTTATCCTGCACCTGTTGAACTGAGACACAAAATAACCCTCAAAGAAAACCAGTTCCAGTATCTACGGGTGAAATTAAAGCAGCTCTGACTTGTTGCCCCTCATCTCTGAATAATAATAATGATTATTTTTTTGTACACGTTTTGATCCCCTAGAGGATTTTTTTTCTTTGCATGGGACCCATCGTTGCACTAGTGAGGAGCAGTGGGCTGCAATTTGTATCGCGCCCAAGTGGGGAAACTGTGGGGTTCAGCATCTCGCCCAACGATGCTTCAGCACGTGGCCTTCTGGGACTGGGGATCGATCCTTTGACCATCAGATCACAGGGGCAACCGCTCTGCCAGTTCAGCCATGGCCACCCCGTCCGTATGTATGTGGGGTTTTAAAGAAAAACCCTGACTGATGCAAAAAACATCAGAAAAATTTGAGTGAAGTCATTTATTGTTATCTAGTTGTCATTAAACTTTTAATAACAATGAGTGCGGTGTAGCACACTGACCCCTGGATGAGAAATGCTTCTTCAAACCTAAATTAAATTTAAAGATTGTTTAAACAGAAATGTGGTGAATACTTTAAGTTTTCTGTGAAACAAGAGGCAGAAAAATTATGTACAGTGTTGTGTTTATATTAGCTGATTTAGTGTCAAGGTAAATAAACAGAAGTTTTGTTTGTTAATCACAATAAAAACTGACATCTCATTTCTGTAGGATTTGGCTGCTGATGTTTGTGGATTATCTGAAAAGTAAACAACAGGAAGTGTCTCGTTTGCAGCTTTCACAGCTAAATTAAGAATTGTGTTCAGGACTTGTTTATCACTTCTGCCTGTGCTAAAGTCTTTCTAGAACTAGCTAAAAACCTGAAAGATTAAATAAGAAGAAAAGATCCGAGGTTAGTCTGGTTCATGCTCAGATAAGCAGCTTGGAGCAGATCTGTACTCTTAATGATCCGAGGGAGAAGCTACAAGTTCAAGGTCCCGCAAAAAAATAACTGAACAACCGGCCCCAGCGATGTCCATAACTAAAACTAAACCAAAAAATTGCCTACCAGGAGTCAGACATAAGACTTACCATAGAAAAGTCAAATTAAACTGTTGTTGCTTTCAGTTTATATATATATATATATATATATATATATATATATATATATATATATATATATATATATATATATATATATATATATAAAATCAGCTAACTAACTCAAAGGCCTTTAAATGGTCTCTCAGTCTAGTTCTGTATGCTACACAATCACGAAGAAGACTGTTGACTTGACAGTTGTCCAAAAAACAACCATTGACACCTTTCACAAGGAGGGCAAAACATAAAAGGTCATTGCTAAAGAGGCTGGCTGCTCGCAGAGCTCTGTGTCCAAGCACATTAATAGTGAGATGAAGGGAAGGACAAGATGTGGTAGAAATAAAGTGTAGAAGCAATAGAGATTACCTCACCCTGGAGAAGATTGTGAAACAAAACCCATTCAGCTGGAGTCAGTGCTTCAAGAACCACCAAAAATCAATCAATCAATACTTTATTAATCCCAGAGGGAAATTAGAGTTTCAGCTGTCGCATTGCTTGTGTCAATCTACCAATCTACTCTTGAACAAGAGACAGCATCAGAAGTGTCTCGCCTAGGCTAAAGACAAACAGAACTGGACTGCTGCTGAGTGGTCCTGAGTTATGTTCTCTGATGAAAGTAAATTCTGCATTTTCTTTGGAAATCAAGGTCCCAGAGTCTGGAGGAGGAGAGGAGGAGCACAGAATCCATGTTGCTTGAGGTCCAGTGTAAAGTTTCCACAGTCAGTGATGGTTTGGGTGCCATGGCATCTGTTGGTGTTGGTCCATTGTGTTCTTCAAAGTCAACGGAACCATCTACCAGGAGGTTTTAGAGCACTTCATGCTTCCTGCTGCTGACCAACTTTATGGAGATACAGATTTCATTTTCCAACAGGACTTGGCACCTGCACACTGTGCCAAAGCTACCAGTACCTGGTTTAAGGACCATGGTATCTCTGTTCTTGATTGGACAGCAGACTCACCTGACCTTAATCTCATAGAAAAGCTATGTGGTATTATCAAGAGGGAGATGCAATAAACCAGACCCAACAATTCAGAGGAGCTGAAGGCCACTATCAGAGCAACATGGGCTCTCATAACACCTGAGCAGTGCCACAGACTGATGGACTCCATGCCACGCTACATTGATCCAGGTCAAAGGAGCTCCAACTAAACTAGGTGCTGTACATGTTCATACTTTCAGTTTATGCACAAAAATATATCATCTAGCCTACATTTCCTTTGGTGATTATGAATTTTGATCAGGAAAAACTATTTGTCCATTTATTTAATGTAAAACCAAAAAGACGCCATAAGAATCGACCATAATGTCCGCTAGTTTAGTTGTAAACAAACATTTGGTTCCAAAGAACTCTTGACTGGCTATAAAGCAGCCATTGTTTTCTGCAGTATCATGTAATTGACGTTGGATTATTTTCTGCAGCATGAGTGGGGTGTAAGACAGCCTGTTCCTTCAAAAAAACTCGTGTTGCCCTGAGCAGTCCAGTAAACTACGGCTCAGCATTCCTGGGGGCCCGTTTGCTCCCAGATAATTGGCGTTGCCTGAGAGAGGAGGAAGTGCCAAAGAGGACAAACAAAAGCAAATTAGAGGATGCAAATCTCTGCTTGAGTGAAAGCGCTCAATCTATGGTTCAAACAGGGTTGTGTAATAACAACTGGCTGACCTCCAAGCATTGTTAATGACCCATTCATTAGTCAGTAAGGCTTTGATCTGGAACATTCATGAAGGTTTTTGGTCAGAGTTTTCTTTTTATTTGTGTAATCTGATTAGATAAAAGCAGAGAATAAATAACCACATAGAGTTTTTACCAGTAAGACCAGTTCACCCAACACAGTGTTGCCATTCATGACAGATAATCACTGAACCATTCGTTTGTGTTCTGACTCTACTTGGAATTTCTGGAATAAAAGCAAAAATGTGTTTTATCTGCTGTCTGGTCATTTTGTGGCTCAGCACAATAAGAACCGTGTGGAAAACTCGGAAAACTCAATTGTCACTTAAAGGGAACGTTTGCTGGATGTTCAGATATGGTCTTTTTTATGACAGCAGTAACTTGATGCTTCACATTTTAACATTAAAAGTCAAAAAGAGATGAGTCCTCCATCTTTGTTTATGCCAATGGTTTCTACACCAAAATCACGAAAGAAATAATTCAGCATGATCATCAGGTCTAAACATTAACCCTTTAACTTCCTCACCAAGAAAACAGCGATTAGGACTTTCCACTTTAGCATTTTTGTGATCTGGGGCAATAAGGGCTTTAGCTTAATGTAAATGGAGCAGATTTT